GCGATAGCTCGTAAACGAGCTAATCAAAAATATCTAAAGTAATTAGGGAAGCCAATAATTGACCCCATTAAAATTTACATGGGATTTCCTATGTCCCGTCCGACGATGCAACACCCGGTATGTCTGAAGCAGTAAACTTTACCTAAGTATAAGTAAATTGCTAGTCGTGTCTGGATCGACCTTAATGCGAACTTTTCCACCAACAGACGCCGGTGGAAAAAATAGGGCAAGGTCTAGCGCAGCCCTTGCACCGACGGCAGCCGTCTGTTAGCGATCGCGTGTTCCAGGTGTAAATGTACGCTAGTATTGCATTGATTTCGACTGGAGAGACGATTAAATATTCAATGTTCCGTTGGCGGCGTTCCTTTCTAGTCGGGTAAAGGTCGAAAGGCTCGTTTTCTTCGGGCTAATTTGTTTTTTGAAAGAGGGCAATTTTTGCTTTTGAAGTTTCCTATTATTCATCAAGAGTTAAATTAAGTCAACAATGAGAACTGTTCTTTTTTTCAAGAAGACTGATTAAATTATTTATGTTAAATAAAAAATTGTGTGTGCACTATGTGCGCATATTTGAAGTAAAACTTCTTAGTAACAGCTATTAAATTGGAGGATTTGAGGAATATATATTTTTTTATGAATGCTTTTTAGAAACTTAAAAAAATAGAATTAATATAAAACCGTATACTATTCTAGCTTTATAATTTTACAATTTTTTTTTAATTTTTATTAAAAAACGATAATTCTATTACACGGCCGGATAGCTGCGGTCATTAAACAAAAACACCAGTGGCGGATACAGAAGGGGGGCGGGCCCATGGGGCCCGGGCCCCCCCTAAAATCTGTAAATTGTGTAAAATATTAGACTTTTGGGTAAAAAATGACACCGTAAAAAACATATTCTACATTGCTTTATATTTTGGCCCCCCCTAAATAAATTCCTGTATCCGCCCCTGCAAAATACTACTACATCTTTAGTTAACTCTCGAAAGAGTATGGTGACATCATGACATTGCTCGGATCGTTGTTCTCCACCCCTCTCTATCTTGAGCGGCTATAGAAGCCTTTTGCAGGCCGTGACCAATAATTTCTTTGGTTTGGTCCACCCAGCGCGTCGGAGATCTTCCTTTTGGTCGTTTGCCATTAATCCTCCCTTCGATTATGATTTTTTCCAGTCCATCTGTTCTTCTCCAAATGTGCCCGAAGTACCTAAGGTATGACTGGTTTATTTTGGTTGAAAGTCTTGTCAACTGCCTTTGAATTGATACGTGTTGGTCCGATGTTCTGTGTATGAAATTCGCAGCATTCTTCTGTAGGCCCACATTTCGAAAGCATCTATTTTTCGTCTATGCATAGGTCTCTGATGCATAGGTATGCATAGGTAGCGATAGGGAAGATCAATGCGTTTACTAATTTTATTTTGTTGTGATGGGATATTGCAGGGTCTTCCCATAACTAACTGCTACTAGCCAACAATTTGTTTTGTGTAGTCTGTGGTCTGTTTTTGTTTAAATGTTTTCTTCATTATTCATGTTGGGGATTTATTTTTAAATTAATATTAATCGTTAGGTAACCAGTAAACTCATAGAATATATATTTCTATTGCATAATCAAAATTGTAACTCTAAATTTTATATAACCAAATTGTCACTCTAAATCGCTGTCTTTTTTAAACAGATGTCACTTGTCTTGTCATTATTCAATTCATTAGAAGAATGTTGTTAGCAAAAGTTTCATCCGTTTCATCTAAAAATAAAATTTTAATCAATCACAATTGTTTATCTCAAACAATTACAAACGATTCATTATTTATAGTGATTTACAGTGATTTTATTAAATTATACGAATACTCTCGTTGATTATTGGTTTTAAATAATTATGACAGTGTCCTCCAATAAAAATGCGAGCTACTAACTCTAAATTCTAATTCTGAGCTGGCAAATGAGCTAGATGCTTTACCTAGACCGCTATTCAGAAGCTACAAACCTATCGATGAAAGTATGCATGAAATCAAGGTTGGTACAAAGTAAAGCAAAGTAAATATTTCAGTTAACGTCTCCTTTTTGCTGCCAGGGCTAATCTGGACGGGGCCTACTTTGTTTACGCGAAATCCGAACCGCGGTCCTCGGCCATATCATGGTCAATGGCCTACCGACTTGGTAACTGTCTAAATCAACTCTTACTCACGAGATATCCGATCTCATCCGGCCTCGAACCGGCGCCGGCGTGAATGGGCAGTGTGTGGCAATAGATTTTACACTTTTACCTTTATTGGACAAGAGCACGATACAGAGTTTCGAACCGGTCACCCGTCCATCCACTAGTATCGTCTTACGTCACTTAACTTCGGTGTTCTAATGGGAACCGGTGTTTCAACGTAGCTGGGCCGTTGCCAAGGTTGGTAAGTTTATTATAGTGATTTTTTTATCTTACACAGTTTCTTTTTTTCGCCCGTAGTTCTTGAAGAGCTTCGCAGTACAATTAATACCATCAAAAATAAATCCTCTTCTGGGACCGACGGGCTAACTTTAAAAATGTTTTCGAATCTGCCAGAAAGCACTCTGAATCACCTAACAACTTTAATAAACATGTCGTTCCAAAATGGTATTTTTCCAAAATGTCTTAAGACGGCAATAATCATTCCACTGCACAAAGGAGGAGACAAAGATGAAGCTTCTAACTATCGCCCAATTGCACTCCTTCCAACGCTATCTAAGATCATAGAAAGGTTGGTTAAAAGCAGGCTGGTATCTTTTCTGTTTAAGTACAAAATACTTAATGAATATCAATTTGGATTTCTGAGCAACAAGTCCACAAATGACGCTATGTTTTCCCTCCTTAATAAAGTTTACTCCAGCCTAAAACAACCATCATTCTACAGCAACAATTTTCTGTGATTTTTCTAAGGCGTTCGATTGTGTAAATCATAAGATCCTAATTAATAAACTGCAGCACTATGGGTTCAGGGGATCATCTCTCGAATGGTTTAAGTCGTATCTGAGCAACAGAATCAACTTGTGAGGGTGGATACCACGTTGTCTTCTAGCAAGCCAATAGAATGTGGAGTACCACAAGGCTCAGTACTAGGCCCTATTTTGTTTCTTCTTTTTATTAACGACATTGCTAACATAAACATCAGTGGCAAAATATGTCTTTTTGCGGACGACACTAGCTTCACTTGGAGCAACAAGGACATCGCGGCACTTCATAGGATTATATCAAATGACTTAATCACCATTAAATCTTGGTGCGATTCGAACCTCCTGAGTCTCAACATTTCTAAAACTAAGGCTTTGTCGTATAAAAACTCGTTGCAGCCTTTTGTACTTGACAACACCACCATTGACGTCGTAAAATCCGTAAAATTCTTAGGGCTTGTTGTGGACAATTCTCTGAAATGGGACATACATATCGAAGCTTTGTCGAAAAAATTGAGCTCTGCCTGTTTTGCATTAAGGTCTGTTTCTAAGGAGCTTAACTTGTCAGTGGCTAGAACTGTTTATTATGCACTTTTTGAGTCGCACCTCAGGTATGCCCTTCCATTCTGGGGTACGTGTTGTGCGGCTCAATTTGACCGCATTTTCAAGCTCCAGAAGAGAGCTGTTCGATATTCACTGGGACTAAACAGCAGAACTCATTGCCGGGGCTTTTTTAGAGAATTAAAAATATTGACTCTTCCTTCCTTATTTATATTTGAATCCGTTTGCCTAATACGTAAACATGTATCAGCTTCTCAAGAAAGGCCATCTCACACTTATCCACTCAGGAACGCGGAGCAAGATCTTTATCTACCTACCCCACGCTCAGAGTTAGTTAAAAGTTCAATATTATACAACTCGAAAAAAATGCACAATCACCTGCCATTTGAAATCAAATCCATAACATCATTTTTTTCATTTCGCAAAGCATTGAACTCTTATTTACTAGACAAGGCTTTCTACGCCGTTAATGAATTATATTTGAATTGAAAATCGAATTTGATCTTGAAAACACTGGTCTAATGTTTGCTATTGCTATATTTACTAATGACATCGAAATTAATTTATTTAGAGGTCATTGATATTTTGCTATAAACTGGCTAAATGTTTTTGAATATTATTTTAATTTTTTTTGTTTTTTGACATTGTAAACATTTATATATGTATTTTAACAATAAGACTGACAATATTATTTGTATAATATTTTGTATTATCTTTTGTTTGTTTGTTTGTGTACCTTGTTTTTTTTACTATGTTTGTTAGTTTACCTTTGTCCACAAATTGAAAAATTTTTTGACAATAAAGGCATTTATTTATTTATTTATTTATTTATTTATTTATTTATTTTTAGCCGCGTATGGCACAGATCGTTACCCAATGTTGTCACAAGCATATTTTTCATCGAGGTAGATTATCACGAGATAATGGGGTTAAATTATTTTACAAAGGGGTCGATCTACCCCGAATTGTGTAGCTGTGGCAACACTGCCGCTATTATTTTTCGTCTCGGTAGCTCGCGCGTCCCGGCCGTTTCGCGACCGTAATTCAAGGCCGTGTGTCGCATATTCTTAACTAAATCATAAAAAAAACAGGGTTTACATACACCAGAGAGAGCATTACTTTAAAAACATTTACACATAAAAATTAAAGTTTATTCTTAAAAAAATATTTTTTATAAAAAAATAATGTCATGCCTAATTTACTTATAGTAACTTGATGTTTTACCTTTCGTCTAAGGAGCAATCAATACAGTTCATGATACAACTAAATTTTACCATTCTTTTTTGAACGGTATTTTAAATTACCTTGCTGACTCAGCTACAGGCTTCTTTTCCATATTAATGGAAAAACAGTCGCACTCAATTTTTCTGTCTAGTAAAATGACAGCGCCAAAAAGCTTATTTGTGTCATTCCCCTTTAAACGAGTTGATTGAACATTTTCATTATGACCTTTTTCTTTAGAAATTATATTCATGCACACAAGTAAAATGTTTTTAAATGTATAAATATCAATAAGGTGGTTCTTACAATTAATGCTGAGTTTCTTTGCAATCAGATCAGCCAAGTCTTTACAGTACCCTTCAAATCTTTCGTTGCCAACTAGGTATTCTCCAGGTTCCTCTTTTCGTACCATAATATATGGTTCTTCCTGAAAATAATGAAAAATATAAATATTTATAACTCAATAGAATGATTTAGAGTACATTTTGCATGATTATTGTGTACAGTTCATACCAAAGAAACTTTTAATCACCTGATTAAACTTGACCGGCACAGCGTTGACCATTTTTATATATTTTCTCTTAATCAAAATATTTTAAGAAACAAAAATAAATTAATTATAAAAATATACCTTGGTTATGGTTTTATGTTCCGTTTCTATCGGTTTCCTGAAAGTTTTCTTTTACCGAACACGGTTCCTGAAAAATTCGGTTATAACTGTCACCAAACTAACCAGCGCGACAAGGCGTTTTTTTGTTTTGTTTGTCAATCAATGTCATTTATGTGAAAGAAATCAAGCAAATATTGGAAGTTCGAGTGAAATTCTCATTTAATGTCTAAAATTTGTTATAATATTTTGTATTTACATCCAAAAGCAATGGAGGTATATAGGCAGTAAAGGTAAATAAATTTCATTAACTAAATAGAATGACTTTTTAGGACCATCTAAACTTATCATGCAGCCATTGTTTCTTAAAGTCAGGAACATTTAAAGAAAACATGAAAAACAAGACAACAAATAATCGTGAATGTTTTGTAAGCTATACAAATATAAATATTGATTAGATTTGTTTATTTATTATTAATCTGTTTTAACATTGGACCTGCAAATCTTCACTTGAGCTGTCTAACGAGTTTAACAGTTTATTAATAAAGTACTTTTCAATATTAAACTCCATTGAAAAGAAGAAGCAAACATAAAAGCGGAGAATAAGTACATTAAAAATGCATAAAAGATTAATTTTATAATAAAGGTATTGAAATTTAGAAAACGTCAACATTTGACATTTTCAGTATTTTACCCATAGACAAACAAATAAAAAGAGACTGGCAAATTGAATGGCAAAGAGAGAGACAACGTTCCCGTAGCGCAACTCAGAACGCAAAATTTGGTTCTATTTATATTAATCTGCGCATTGCGTCTATTGGGCCCACTATCTCATTCTAATATAACAAGAGAGAAAGGAGCAGCCATACACAACGTAATTCCTAAATAGAAATTAAAACAATCACCTTTCGTCATCATGACAACCAAGATGACAACATTATGACAATTCGTCATGTTTGTTCATTTTTCTTTTGGTGATTTACCTTTTTCTTTCTAAACTCTCCATTTTATTGACTTATGGATATGGATAGGGAAGAAATTCCTTTGTTCCATATAGGTATTTATATTATGTTATTTATAATTTTAGGTTATACTATTTGTTATTTTATTTGCTGCAGGAGCCAGTATCAGCAGTATCATCTATTTTTTATATGTACTGGTGCCCCCTTTCTCGGATAGATATGTTAAAGACACCCGGTAAAATAAAAGTAAGTAGTTATATTTATCATCTTATTAAGAAAAAAGTAGAAGTAGTAGTGTCAAAAATATTTCAAACCTCTCTTAACATAACAAATTAATACAATTAATTTTTTTCATTTTTTGGGTAGGTAGGTAATTTATAGCTGGTTTATAGTAACCAGAAACTTTATTAATATACCTATTTTACTTTTGTTTTAGGATTAAAACTGGACTTGAAAATGGCTCAGGATCATGATTCTCGTAAAGTCTTCTTTACTTGGATATTCACTTTGTTATTGCAATTAGGCAGTTTTTTTGAAAATGAGATTTTTAATGCCCTTTTAAAAAATCAGTCAGTTCTTCTTCATTTAAAATTGGTAGGTGGGTGGAATAAACACTTATTTTTTGCTATTATATTATAAAAAGTTTATTTATTTTTATGTATAAATAAATATGTTTATGAAACAGTACAATTTTTGCTTTTTTTATAATTTCCCTTATAGTAGTATTCTTTCGTTCTGAAAGAAACTGCAAATTTTCACTTGTGAGAGAATACTACTAATAATGGCTACCTAATTTAAATTTTCCGCCAGCTAGAATGTGCGATAATGTCTTACGATACGTTTTATACCTATTTCTTTCTTTTTCATACAAAGCACACATAATAAAGAAAGATAGCAATAAAGACGTACGTCCTGCCATGGTCCTGCTAATTGGTTTAAAAATTGTTATTCTGAGTTGCGCCAGGTTGCGCTACGGGAACGCGGTCCCACTCTTTACCATGAGATTTGTCAGTCTCTTTTTATTTGTTTGTCTATGATTTTACCAAACCGTTCCTTATCAAACCGATATTTTTCAGGAACCGCTCTTTACCGTAGTTTACCGGTCTGGCTCGCCTGGTTTTGCAACGGAATACAGCCTTAAATGATTAAAAATACTAACCACTATGGTAGTAACCACGTATGTTTTGTTTCTTTCAAAGATGGCTTGTGGTTTGAGCCTAATATATTTCGCAGCTACCGGTGTGAAGCCAGTTTCGTCAGTCCATTCCGCTACTTTAACCATTGCACTGTTGACAGTCATTTCGACAACGTGAAGAGTGTAATTCTGACGTCTTCCTTCTTCATTGAAGCGTATTTCTCCAGTTAAACCTTCAATTTCAGCCTAAAAATTATTAAATATTAAAAATAGGCACCTTAAAATTTTCATGTACAGGGTGGGCCAAATTGGATTGCTTTTAAATAGAAATATCCTTTTCTATAGGAGATAGACGAAAACTAATATCGGTGTCTGGAGCTCAATTTTTATTAAAAACATGATGGTGAAAACCGCATATCGATATTTGTTACCGTTTCGGAGTTATGGGGTGTTTTTCAAAAATGCCCATTTTTAACAAATCATTGTAACTTTTTTGCTAAGAACGGCGCCGGCTGTAATTCAAAAAAATTCGAGCTGTGAGCAGCAATTAAAACGGAAATAATATTTGCAACGAGAGATGTGGAATTTTATAATAATTTAAAACTATATTTAACAACATCAACACATTTAAACTATATCTAATAACAGTAAAAATTAATAGCAAACTAAGACATGAGATTTTGCTACAGGTGTTCAACATGTCGCTCGTCTTCTGTTATGGACAGACGGGGCCGTTTCTGAACATTTCTCGCGGAATTCATTAACTCAGTGGAATTGAAAGATATCCTCGCATAACCGTTAAGTACTTCTAATTCTAGTAGTCTAGATTATACGGACAATTTAAAAATAAGAACCTTTATTCTTCCGCCAAGATAAAAATCCATAGACAGTATAGGCACTAAGTCCGGCGGCCTCGACGGCCAATTGCTGGGATCTTGGTTAGCTATTCATTTATTCTCGAAATTGGCTACAAAAATTTGCTGATTTTGATGAATTTCTGAGTTCCGAGGCCTTGTCTTGCTGGAAAAATATATTTTCGAGTTCCATTAGGGGCAGATCATCAATAAGGGGTCCACAGCCTACTAGTTAAAAGTGGCGAACATTTAAAAATTCTGTATTTCGAAGAGGACTATAACAAAATATCAAGTGTGCTATTTTCTTGGAAAGGTAATTTTAAGTTCTTTTCAGTTAATTAAAAATATACAGGGTGTTCCGAATAAAAAATCAATTTTTCTGTTGATAACTCTTAAATTATTAATTTAAAAAAAATTATACTTAAACCATTAAATTCTACGTAAAAAGGCGCTTTGAAAATGTTTTCATAAAAATACAAAATTTTCCACAGCAAAAAAGTTTTTCTATTTGTTAAAAATGCACATTTTTGAAAAACACCTCGTAACTCCGAAACGGTTACAGATATCGATGTGCGGTTTTCACCATCATGTTTTTGATAAAAATTGAGCTCCAGACACCGATATTAGTTTTCGTCTATCTCCTACAGTAAAGGGTGTTTCTGTTTAAAAACGTCCAATTTGGGCCACCCTGTACGTTTTTAAAGTTCAATAGATTTTGTTCCACTGAGCCGATTTTAATAATGCCACATATCGACGCGTCAAAATATGCTTATTGTGCACAAAAAAAAACATTGAGGAAACAGTCTATTTCTAGTCAATTTCCTGGTGATTTTTGATAAATGATATCAATAAAAATATGCACGCCCTCTATAGTTCGAAATTATTTTATTTTACACTGCAAACTACTGGGCAAAAAAATTGCGTGAGATCTAATCAGCAGCGCACACGTGAACTATTAATTCCCTTTGATAATATCGCAAAAAATGGAAAGAAATTGGTCATTGCGATTGCTATTTTTTCCTACATAAATAATGCGATCATTCGAGGCCTAGATAAAAAATGCTGAGTCATTAAAAAGGACTAAAAAAGAGAATTAAAATTATTTTTTTCAATAACTACTGTTAAAATTGCCTTATATATATCAAAAATAGTAGATAAAATAGTACTTTAACAGCGAGGATAGGTTAAAAACTTGATTTCTTCTCGCACGTTTTTTAATTGCTTCCATATTTGAAAATTTTTGGATTCCTTTTCGTAAGTAATTCGGGATTTAAATAGAAGTAGTTTGGATATAGCGTTTGCCGCCTTAGCCTGAATATCTGTTGGTAATTTACTTATTTCGCTTTGAGCCATTTTTGGCTCCAATTCAATCAGCAATCGACACGAAAGAGAATTAAAAAATATTGACTCAAAACTGACAACTAAAGAGACAGCTTTATTTATTTGTCAAATTACATAGAAACCAACGCCAACTCGGCACAATATTTTTTCTATTCATAATAAATTCCTTGAAATAATAATTTCTGAATATTTTTTAAAACGTAACGCTATGGAAAAAAATATTGTTTTATACACGACGATAAAATTGCATTATCGTCTCCCGAAATGAAATCACTCGCAAATCTTTTCGGTCCACGATAAAATACAATTTTATCGTCTTGTATAAAAAATAACTAATATAAAGTGTGGCCAAGAATTATTCAAAAAATGTGGCCTTTTGTCCGCAATTTTTCAAGTCGCAGTACAGTTTACAAAGTATTATTTTTTTTTTGGAAATATAACACAAAACCAGACGTGATTAATTATTCACACCCTGCATAATCAAATAAATACCTTTCTCAAATATCTGGATATTTTATCACCGTGCTCCCACGGGTTAACTCTTCCAGAGGAATGGTTACAATCCAGAATTTTGCTGCCATTGTTGTAGAGCTGTCCCCTTCCCGATCTGCTGTTGATGTTCTTGAAGTTATCCGGCTTTTTTCTTAAGATTTTATTGAAAGCCTCCACCAGAACGGATACTGCGTCGTACATCAGAGCTGCTTGAGCGGATATGGAATCACGTCCGGCACCAGCGGATTGGCTCGGGTCCAAACGCTTCCAACTAATGAATAAGATAAATAATTAACAATCAGTATTTTCATGAGTTTAGTCTTTGTTATGGTTCTTTATGTATTAACAGAATTATAATGGTGTTAATTACCGGGGGCAAAGTTTCTGTCCCGAGGGACAATAATTACTTGAGGTTCCACACTGAAAAAAATGTAAGTAATTTTACAAAAAAAAATATTGATACATTAGAGTATTTTTAATAAGAAACTTGTAAAAATAGGATATAGTGCATAATTTCACAAAAAAATGTAAATGTAATTTTGCAAAACAGTTCATTTAATATTAAATGATTATTACTAAACGATATTATTTTCACAATTGGTTTTGTGAGTTTAAAAATTAAATTTAAATCTGAAATACAATCTTGCAGTAAAATTGTATGTCTCTAGACATATTCATAAAACTTGTATGAATTTACCCTAATATATTAAGTAAAAAATGACGTCACGTCACGTGGCTTCTTGTGAAGCTGATTCGTATTAAGTAATCGACATAGAGGAAACAAAGAACGACGAAGAAAATTTTAATCTAAGCAGTTTTTTAAATAGTTGGTAGTCTCAAAGCGTGGGTGATTGGTGTTTTTATAATTTAAGGGTAAGTATATTATACTAAATTATGTTTATCTCCATTTATTATAAATGTTTTCACTTTAATTTTAGCGATTTTTTTTATGGAAACATAATTGTTCCATGATCTCTCTATATTAACATATCTCTAAGTATTATTTATTCTTTCAGACTGTGTTTCGGAGGACAAATTTAATACCGGAGGACCGGAATAGAACTCTAACCTAACCTATCTAATGGCAATTGTGTTCCAATTTTTGTTAAGAAGATATGGCAATGAGTATCTATCATAGCAACTGTATCTATCTATCATAGCAACTGTTAAAAATTGCCTTATATCTATCAAAAATAGTAGATAAAATAGTACTTTAACCGCAAGGGTAGATTAAATTAAATGATACTTTAACAGCGATGATAGATTAAAAACTTTATTTCTTCTCGCACGTTTTTTAATTGCTTCCATTTTTGAACATTTTTGTATTCCTTTTCAAAAGTTATTCGGGATTTAAATGGAAGTAGTTTGGATATGGCGTTTGTCGCCTCAGCCTGAATATCTGTTGGTGATTTACTTATTTCGTTTTGAGCCATTTCTGGCTCCAATTCAATCAGCAATCGACACGAAAGAGAATTAAAAAATGTTGACTCAAAACTGACAACTACAGAAACAGCTTTATTTATTTGTCAAATTACATAAAAACCAACGCCAACCCAGCACAATATTTTTTCTACTCGTAATAAATTCCTTGAAATAATAATTTCTGATACACGACAATTGCATTATCGTCACCCGAAATTTTTACAAGACGATAAAATACCATTTTATCGTCTTGTATAAAAAATAACTATTATTATTACTTAGTTATGACTTTATTTATGGTTAGCGTAACCAAGGCGACATAAGGTTACATTAATTCGGTAAGAAATAAACAAAATTATGTCTCTCTTCCTAAACTTTGTTTTTAACATTCTAGAAAAAATCATTAAAGATCAAGTTGCTCATTACCCTTCCAGAAAGTCTCTGACGTGTTTCCTGGACGAGTCCACAATGCGGAAACCCGTAATATTGATGGCGCCATACTCCACAACTTCAGCCTCCCATCGGTCGTCCATGACCTGGAAAAGCAACAATATAAAATAAATAAAAAGTAATTTAAAGCCCATTAAAAACTTGAAGTGTACATGCAGCCTTGAATTAAACACATTTATAGGCAGTGGCGGCGGGAGGTTCACTTTGGGGGTGTACAGGGTGTCCCATTTTGCTTTAAATCATACGGTATCTCCATTAATAGTGAAGATAGAAGGGTGCGGTTTGCACAAACCTGTGCCACTTTTTTGTCAAACGGAAGATGCTGTCAACAAAATTTTTATAACCCTTTTCGTTTCTGAGCTACAGGGTCTTTTCGAAAATTTTGCAATTTGAGACCGCCCCCGTATCTCCGTTATTATGGATGATATCGAAAAGGTGAAAACTGATTCTTGTAGTTCCAAACCAAACTTTTTACGTAGAATACAGAGGCGTAGTCTGTTTTTCTACGAAAAAAATATTTTTGAAAATATGAACTAACGTTATGTTTTTTCAAATGGAACACCCTGTATATTTATAAATCATATGATCCGCTTTGATATAAGCTTCTCAAATATATATATCACTCTGTATTTATTTTCACTATTTACTGCAATATTTAAAATATATCATTTTCTTATTAGTAGGCCGTGATAAATAACAAAATCAAAATGGTATTTACTAAAATAGACATGCACATATTAAAATTTTATTTGAAATTGATATATTTTACTTTTGAACTGTTACCACTGAACCTCTAAATATATTTTTCTCTTTTTTATAACGGAATTTATTATAATGGGATGGGTTTGCAAATATCTAAAAGCTTGCATTATTAAAGCATTTTTCAGGTGTTCATTTCATATTTCAAAAATCCCCAAAATCAGAAATCATACATTAGTTCCAATTGATTGATTTGAGAAATAACAATTTAACAAAATTCTAATACTTTCGTTGTAAGTTAAGTTGTGAGGGGGAAACCATCTTGCTGAAAGTATATTTCACGTAAATTGGCTAAAGGAATATTTAAAAGTTCCGATACGATAGTTTCCAAGATTTACAAATAGCGGTAGAGATTTAAGTTTCCCTAATATACAAAGAATTAATTAGTGGCTCTCAAAATAAAACAAGAGACTTTCTTTTATCAATCATGGCCTACTAAAAAATGATCTTTTAATATGGTTTTTTTAAATATTGCCCTAAATAATAAAAACAAATATAGAGTGTTATATATTTTTGAGAAGCTTATAACAAGCCAGATCATATAATTTATAAATATATAGGGTGTTCCATTTAATAAAACATAACTTTAGTTCATATCTTTAAAAATATTATTTTCGTTGAATAACACACTATATCACTGTATTCTACGTAAAAAGTTCTACAATAAACAATTTTCACCGTCTCAATACTTTTAACAATAACAGAGATACGGGGGCTGTCCCAAATTGCAAAATTTTCAAAAAAACCTTGTAGCTCAGAAACGAAGAGAGCAATGAAAATTTTGTTTACGGCATCTTCCATTTGACAAAAAGGTGGCTCAGGTATGTGCAAACCGCACCCTTCTATCTTCACGAATAACGGAGATACCGTATGATTTCAACCAAAATGGGACACCCTGTACAACCCTAGAAAAAAAATTGTTACTCGACTACGGTCAAAGAATACTTTTTTTGGAATACCAAATTGTCAATTTAAGGCTGCCCATTAAGGAATATTATTTTATTAAAAAAATGAAAAAAGAAAATATCTACTACAACTTATTGTCGTTAAATATTGCAGGCTAAAGCTTGATTTTCATGCATCCGTTATCCGACGATACGATGAAATGATATTTATTTTATTGGTGTTGAATTTACAGACTTCGATTGGTTAGAAACGGTTATCCAATCGAAGCCTTTAAATACAACTAATGAAATTAATATCGTATCAACGCATCGTCGGACAACGGATGCATGAAAATCAAGCTTAAAGCTTGATTTTCATGCGTCCGTTATCCGTTGATACGATGTCATAGAAGATTTCTTAAAATTCTCTCTCGAAAACACGCGTTGCTAGTACTTAGACTATTAGTAAAACAGCAAAATCATTATGGAGAGGAAAATATAAAATGACGCCAATCACAAGCAAATCGCATATCCGAATATCGTAATAATATCCAGCACAAAAATGCAATAAATTTAAAAACTGCGTAATTTTCTAACCAATCGAAGTCTTTAAATTTAACCATTAAAATTAATATCGTATCATTGTATCGTCGGATAACGGATGCATGAAAATCAAGTTTAATTTATAGTAATTAATATAGTTTTTGTGCATACATTTCCAGCCTATGACAATACGCTTTTTGGAACAAATAGAATTAATAAAAGAATGACAAAAGTTAAATTATTTTTTTGTTCTCAAGAAAATGCATTAAACTTGGGTGGTTCACGTACTCTTGTGTACTTCTTGAGGATCCTCCACTGTTTGTACATTGTTTTCAACCATTTGCCTAATTGCCTCTAGACCATTACGCTTATTGTAATTATAGATTTTTCAGTTCTGAGTTGTTATCATTAATCTTTTTTAATGCAATGTTATTACTTGTTTATTTTAACTTGTATAAAAGTTTACATTTTATTGATTTTTGATAGAACTTGAACGTTAAAACAGTTCATGTAGAATTATTGAAATAATTTGGTAATATACAAAAATAAAATTATACAAAAAATGCAACAGGTTAAAAAAATAATAAGAAGATGTAACGAATACAATAGCATCATCGCGCTGGTCTTAGCGTTATCTATAAAGCGCGACCAATACATCCATCGAATAATTGAAATTGAATTTAATTATTTCAAAAAATTTACTGAGAATTTTAATTTATTATAGGGGATCTCAGTGACTTTTTTAAATAAAAAGTGTAACACTATTTCGAAGGGATGTGATGCATCACTCGCATGGTAGCTTCGCCGCTTGTAGACATGAAATCGACAACTTTTGGAATCGTCCGACTATGAAATTAAAAAAATTATTTTGACTGACAAAGTTATTATGATTTTTCAAATTCTTTAATCAGTAAATATTGAAAAAATCAGCCAAATGGCGACAAATCTTTAAAGAAGCGTTTTCACAAATTCAGTCCGCTGATCAAGTCAAAAACCATCTAAATTTTAGATGATATATTTCATGTCTCAGTTGACTACGGTTAAACTTTTGGTTTTCAAGTGGCGTTTTTAAAACGGTTGTAAATTTTATTAATATCTACGAAAAATATGGGTGTATATGAAAAACACAGAACTCAAAACACCAGGTTAAGAATAAGAGGATTAATTTCCAGCTTAAGCCGAGGAAAAATGGCGTTATTTTTCATATTTCTGGTAACTATCACCCTCTATCACTAACATTCTGAAAACTCTTAAATTCCCCAAAAAATATTTCTTTCAATTTATCGAACAAAATTATCTTACCAATCCAGATAACAAATAGTGATAAGTTCTTCTTCCTAGTGATATATCTCTAACGTGTCCCACGACAATTTCCTTGGCCATATCAGCGGAACAATCCAACACTACGTACTTATTTTCCCATCTAGAATGTTCCTCTAGACCTCTCAAGAACTGAAGGGCCTCAGTGACATTACCTATCCTCCTCACAGTCCTGATTTGAAAGTACTCGTTTCCTGGTATAAGGGCTTGGTAGATTTGCTGCAACCTTAGCAATCCTGCAAATAAACAAATATTGAAACTCATTTAACGCATTCAACCTACGCTTTTCTATCGAATTATAAAAAAGGCGTCAAAGACGAATGGGAATGACCATAGACTTAAAATAAAATATAGACTACACTATTTACATCTCAATGCGGTCAAACAATATTTTTTGTACACATGTTTACTTCTGGGTACAGTCGACCGAGCCTTTGTCATCCAGCCTATGTTGTCACGTCTTTAATATTATCAATATTTTTTTTCTTGTTATACACATATATTGAGATATTAATACTACAGTTTAATAAAGTAGGTTTTAGTATTCCATAGATGTATTAAATAGTCCTTATACTGCTAAATTATAAGTCGGATATTGTTTAAAAAAGATAAGTTCTTTACAATATGACAACACCGATTAGAGGCGAGGGAGCCTATTCATTCATTTATTACCTTGTAGTATGCGTCGCACGTGTGCGGTAAAGCTTTGTTGCCGCTATGTCCCCGGCTGTATTAACGCATTTTCTTAGCTTGTAGTCCTTAGTGTTTATTTTATTGGCCTTTTCTGTTCAAGAACTATAAAATATGGTTCGCCAGTGCCAAATTTGCAAGAAATTTGACTTAAATAATCCATGTAAGTCTTGAAACGACTTTCGACCGGTAGGCAACTCTCAATTTACCCATTAGGAGTCAGTGGCGTTGTTGTAGAAAGGCGCTTATTTAGATAATTTACTATATTTTAGTAAAATGTAAAATCTGAATTTTTTCTCTTACATTACATTATTTACTTACTTACATTGTAACAAAATCATAATTATAACCCTGTTAATAATTAATAATGTTTTTATTAAAAATATATTCCGGTTTATTCTAAAATTATCTTCAGAATCTAAAATAACATACAAGAATTTTAAAATGAGATTACATTATGAAACAATATTTCTTAATATACCGGGTCGTCTCAAAAGTGGCTCACCCCTATAACTTTATTATTTTTTCAGATAAAAAAAAGATTTGTGTGTTAGTAGGCATATGACATAAATTAGGATTGATTGACGTATTCAATTGTTTTTGGTCTCTTCCTGTTTCACCGAAATGATTACATCTTTTGATTTTTAAAGGCACCCTCGGTATATTGCTACTTTATTCGATAAAAAATGACACTCTGAATAGAATGACATATCATATGTCAACTTTCGACATTTTCGCTTAAAAACAAATCGTATTTTAAATTTCAATCCAGGGTGTCATGGTGTTGTAGTAAAGATGTACAAATCGTATTTTTAATCATACATATGTCAATTTTTTCAAATGGAACAAGGGTGACTCATTAGCATATTTGGAAAAAGCATTATTTTATGAATATATTGATACTACACACTTGGTATTTCGAGTCAAATTGTCGTTATGACCCGCGTGTTACAATTACAATTAAACCATATGCGAAAATGTCAAAAGTTGACATATGATATGTCATTCTATTCAGAGTGTCATTTTCTATCAAATAAAGTAGAAATATACCGAGGGTGCCGTTTAAAATTAAAAGTTATAGTAATTTCCGGTGAAACAGGAAGTGACCAAAAACAATTGAATGCGTCAATCAATCCTAATTTATGTCATATACTAACATACTAAATCTTGTTTTTTTATTTGAAAATATAAAAAAAATTATGGGGATGAGCCACTTTTGGGACGCACCCGGTATAATAAAGACAGTACCGAGTTAAATAAATGTAGTTTTTATTTTATCCACTTCCTATCACCTTCCTTGCTTTAATGGAACAGATTTATGTTTTCTCTAATTTACATAATAAGACATCACTTAACCAGAAAAAAAATTACAACAATCATATTTTTTTTTCTCCCTGTCGCCGATTCTATTATATCTGTGGAATAGATCCTGTTTTGATTAATATTAGGGGTTGTAAATGTTTGACTAAAATTAATAATTTATTATTAATTTTAAAAATTATGTAATTTCGATAATAAAATTTCTTCTTTAGCGTGTATTTTATTATTTTTATCCTTTTTGGACTCTAAGACGTTTTTTCTAAACTTTTATTTAAAAAACCTGTCCTAAATCTTAATAAAATATAAAAAAATTTAAATACGATATATTTTTAATTTAATTATAGCTTTATTAAAATAAAAAAAATACCCGGCTATGATACGGAGAGTTCAGGTGTACTTGAGAAACGAAAGACAGTGTTGTGTTTCTCGGCAGAGTCGTCAGGGAACGACCGTTACGACAGAGACAACCTATCTATCGCTCGTGTCGCACTCGTTATAACCTAAAACAATAACACAGCAATAACAAGTATTGTCTGACCGCATGTTCCAGCTATTTATGAATGAGATGCTCAGTCTATATTTTATTTTAAGTCTATGGGAATGACAATCAATAATAATTTTGGTTAGGTCAATCTCTAGACCTTATTTACTAAAAATTGACATAGAACTTGTCAAAAATTAACACAAATATATTTAGAAAGATTAAAAAAAGATGTTTTCAGACAAATCTGTTTCCAAAATATTATTTTTCTCCAATTAATGACGTCACCTCGCCAAAATTATTATCGATGTCATTCCCCAGCCGTCTTTGACGGCGTTTTTTTTCTATCGTGTGGTATATAAAATTTACCGTCATTTGAATCATAAAGATAAATGATCCTTCTCCAACCATAGTATTTTACTGTGTCAATGATGGCTTGATGGTATTCTGGTCTCATTGAAGTTGCATAGTCCAAAAACCCTGATGATGGTGTCAGGACCTACAAGAAAGAATCATTTACTGACAATTTATTAGTGTCTTGGTTTTTTATGTTATACTTTTTCGGGAAACCAGGGTGTGACGAAGGGCATTTGAAAGGTGTTACTGTAGGAGTGTAAGGTGTCAAACGAATCTGGCGATACTGCTCCTAGCATCGAGTATACTCCTCTTGAAAATTGATTACATACTGAAATAGAAAAAAGAAATAACTATATAGTAAAGATATCTAGCCTAACAATTAACATTTAACATGACAGCAGAACTGTTAATACTGGTTAATCATAAATTTTTGATAAACTACCTCGAAAAATCAACGGGTATAGTTGTCAAGACAATAAAACAATTGAAAGTGAGACATTTTAGCATTTCAATAACAGTCATATTTAAAAAATGGCTGTTTTGAATTGAATAATAATTTTGCCGTCGCGTTGTTATTTTTGTCAAGAAATGTTTCAAAAAATTACCCATTGCTTTTTTTACAAAAATATTCGCCATGTTTAATTTGTAAACGTCGGTATTTTCGCTGGAATAAATGTAATTTAATTAAAATTTTCGTTAGTATTTAGTTCTGGAAAGCACGCGAATATTAAATCACTCTAATGGGTTTTTTTCTGGTAAATTGTTGTAGTTTTGAGTTGTTTTGCCTAATTAAGTAGCATTGCGACACAACACAGTTACTGCAATAGACGAACATAAATCAAAAGTGTATTTGTTTCTTCAAAAATAAATTACAAATCTAGTAAAATACAGCAAAATACTAGTTTCATTGCTGTAGGTAATGTCTGGCTTAACAGAAAACAACTATATCAAACTTATATCTTTATTTTAATTAACACAATTTTTTACAAAAATCCAGGGTATAATATTATCCAATGTTTTGATATAAATTATACTTTTAGTTACGTAATCGAACGGCTCTATCATGGCAAGCTGCACCAAAATGATAATTTCTGTTATGAAAAAAAAGCATTTCTTAATGCACTTCCAAGTAGACAAGTCAAGCCACTGACCACAGAATCGGATGATGATTTGACCTAACATGATCTGGAATACTTTTTTTAGATTTGCAAATTGAATTTGAGAATTGCAAAATAGGACCGTAGTCTCTAAGATAGTAAAAAATTCGTGGAAAGAATTTCATACTTACTTAAACGAGATAACTTGAATGCATCCGCCGTATTGATGACGTCTACGTAAGCTTGCAATTCGAAACGTCGACCAGAATCATTCTGATGATGAGCGATGGCAAATCTGAACGCAGATTGTACGTCATCTGCTCCCTGTTCAAATATGGCACCTAAAGATAACACGGAAATGGTTTATTTATTAGACATAGACTTTCAATTAAAAAATATCACAGATTAAGTGTATTTTATATTTTAACTAATTTTTATATTCATTCTTATTACTGAGAATTGCTTTAACTCTTTGATAAATGTACTAAAATATTACTAAATGGGTATATTGCTAAATAAATGCTTATTTTGCATATTGCCTTAACTTAAATTTTCTTTTGCTTCAATTTGCTAGTTTACATATTTTGAGTTTGTACAGTTTTGAATAAGATGTGCGATATACAAGGGTTTTCCTTTAAAAAAATTGAGACATGGCATTTTAAATAGTGTTATGTTGACCGCGCAATAATAAATACCCTGTATGAGATCATGTGAGTGTTCCTTCACGAATTTACCATGTTTTCCTTGGTGTTTAAGAAAATATAGCTTCAAATAAAAAGAGTGTAAGCGTTTACGCAGCATTTTATGTTAAATCTTATTCTGTACAGAAAAAAAAGGTTACAATTTAAAAAAAAATATAACTTTATCATAATTTTTTTGGGACACTCCGTATACTACAAAATATTTTTAGAATAAGCACCTTTATAAACCATGCATTTATATAAAACTTTTTGTTGTATCTGCGTTAACAATGACAATCTTGGACTTCCTCATACTAAATGGCCACACTGTATAATTTTTCTCTAGGTACAATGAATTAAAAATAGGAGAGTTGGTATACTCTTTTTGGATATTTCTGTAGTATTCCAAACCGTAGTTTCAAATTCAAAATTTCGTGAATTCGGAATTTTATTACTACTTTAAAATAAGTTTATCGAAATATAATATATTTTCTCATCATAGAATAACCTACTTGCCTTCCAAATATTTTATTATAATTTTCAAAATCCTAAGTAAAATATTATATATTTTTTACTTTTGGAAATATATTTTGTACTGTTTTACTTATTTTGTACTTCTCTCCACTATTAACTAGGTACTTAAATTTTTAAAATCTTTTGAAAAATATATAATTTATCGAAAATTTGAAACTGAATTTTACTCTAGTAAACCAGATTATCTTATTTCTTCTTCCATTTCTTTGTTTCCTTCTTCCATAACCTCATTAACTTAATGAAATCATTTTCCAATATAACTCCAAACCGAATAAATTTCAGTTCTTGCCCAATTGAATTTTCTCATTTATAATACCACAATTCAAACCTCTTAAATAAACGGTTATTATCTTAAATCACCACAGAAAAATTAAAGAATTTTTACTAATTTTCTGAGCCAATTTCACTTTCCAATAAAACAACAAAACCAAAACAAAATTTCAGTACTTACCAAGCGGAATTTTCTCACTTATAATACTACAACTCACTCCCTTTAAACGGACACTTAATATAGTGAAAACACAAACAAAAAACAAGGATTTTTCTTTCATTTTCTCGCCACCCACGGTCTCAGTGAGATGGGACACAGGGAAAATCGGAAAATCGGCGAGTTGAGATGATGTCGACGCCCGTGACACAGCGCAGAATCCCGGTGGTCCTGAGGGATGCTGCGGGATAAGGGGAGGGTGAAATAAAGGGGTTGAAAAGAGATTTTCACCTTTTTTATTGTAACTTTTTTCTCTGGAGGTTTTTATTGGATCTAATCGTGTAGAAAATTGACTAAGAGTGTTTAGCTTCTAGTCTGAATATATTTTCTAAAATAAGTATCTAATATTCAGTTTTATTATGCTAAAATCTTGTTTTATAGTTTTTTTCAGTGAAGAATTAACCAGCTTTTTTCCGAAAATGAATTATTCTGTTTAAACACAGAAACACAGAATTTAAAACGGAACTTAAGACCCTGGAAGACTCCATCCGTAACCTGGAATGTATAGTGAACTAGTAAATAGAAAAGACGTTCTAATAAATAACATAACACTGGAAATAGTAGAAGAATGCATACATTTGAAACAATTAATTTGGGTTGCCAACATTCAAAAGAAATAGAGGACGCGAGTGCAAAAAAAACGGGACAGGCAAAAAAATGTCAAGAATTTTCTCAAAAGTTATGTAGACGTTATACGGATATTGTTTTTTTTTACTTTCTTAATGCATTCACCAATATTTCTTGTACGTAAGTAAATACACACACCGGAAAAGTCTAGGGATATTACAATTTTATCCAGCCATCGTCAGTAATTTTATTATTTGCATTTCTGATATAATAAAATTAAAATAAACAAATAGTTTACAAAACGTATTGGAAATAAAAATGCGAAATTTACAGAATTTTTTAAATTTACCTTGATTTTTATTGAACTCAAAAAAATACACACATTTTTTTTTATTCTAAACTGTGAATAAAAAAAAAGATAAAACCATTTTTACTTAATAAAGGGTATGGCCTCCTCTACTGTTCATTACAGCCATATATCGTCTCTCCATGCTCCTTATCAGGTTGTCGATCTCTTCTTGAGGTACAGCCTGCCACGCTGCAGTCACGGCCCGAACCAGATCCCTACGAGTAAACATCTTATGCTATGCCGATGACGCAGTACTTATTGCAGAGTCAGAGGACGACTTCCAAAGAATGCTACAAGCTTTTAACAGACAGGCAGAGTATTAGTATGAATAGTGCATCGGTAGTTGATCGGTTTCTTCGGAATCCTTGTTGTTCCTCGCTTATTGGCACTATTGAGGAGATTTTGTCCGCAATGATCTTAGTCAGAAGTTTTAGCGAGGTGCTCAGTAATGTTATTCCTCTATAGTTTGCTGGGTCTGTTTTATCTCCCTTTTTAAAAATAGGTATTGTTATACTTTGTTTCCATTCTGCTGGTATTTTCTTATGTTGTAATATAATGTTAAACAGTTTTGTGTATTCCTCTATGATAGCCGTGCCTGCGTTTTTTATTAGCTCGTTTGGTATTTTATCTTGATTAGGAGATTTTCTATTTTTAAGTTTCCTTATTGCCTCTTCTACTTGCTTGTAAGTGATTTGCGTATGATCTTCTGTATTATCTCTTTGGCTTGTCTCTTGTGCTTCCATTGGTTCATCTGTTTCTGCGTTTAAGTCTCTGAAATATTTTTCCCACGTATCTTCTGCAATTGTTCTTAGTTGTATTGTTTCATTTGTTTCTCGTTTCAAACCCCTTAACATCTTCCAAATACGTTTTTGTGCTCCATACATATCCGCCTCCATTTCGCTACTAAATCGCTGCCAATATTCTTCTTTAATTTCTCGTACTCTATTATTAGTCCTGTTCCTTATATCGGTATAGATATTTCGGTTCTCCGGTGTTGGAGATTTCTTGTATTGTAAGTATTTTTCCTTCTTTTCCCTTGTAATGTTCTTGACTTTTAATGTAAACCAAGGTTTAATGTTCGGTCTTCTATTGTGTGATACAGTACGTGTTCCTAAAGCTTCTTTAGCACCTTTGCAGATGTTTTCTTTCAGTTTGTTCCAAGCTGTGTTAGGAGTATCAAACTGTGCTATGGGGGTTAAGAGTGACATGTGTTTGGCATCTGTTTGAATAAAGTTGTTTAGTGCTTTCGTGGTTGAGGGATTGTATATTGAATTTTTCAGTTTTTATCGATGGTCTTTTTTTGGATAGCGGCGCACCTATTCGTATCTTTCCTAGCACAAGTTTGTGATCTGTTCCAATGTTGGCTGAGAATAAGACTCTTATGTCTATTATTTGTTGAGGTAAGAAACTTCGATTGGTGATGATATAATCGATTATTGATTTATTGTTTCTATTGTCATAGAAGGTGTATTTGTGTTGTTCTTTATGGGGAAAATATGTGTTGTTTATTCTCAGTTCGTTCTGTCCACAGAATTCGGTCATAATTTCGCCATTTCTATTAGTTATATTCTCGTTATATTTTTGTTTTATTCCATCCACTACCTCGTTTCCAATTCTTGCGTTTAAATCCCCTAACAGAATTATCTTTTCATAAAATTAAAGAATCCATATATCCTAAAGTTTGTCCATAAAAAAATGGAAAATGCATATTAACAACAATCACTAATTTGTTATACGATATGCGTTTAAAAAGCAAATTATGCAAAATTCCAAGTGGAATATTCCAAGCAACAAAACCCGTGCGTACTATGATGTGCGACCTATGAAATGCGACGTAGAACTAATCGGGCTGCCGACTGATTGTATATACCGTTCTTCGTCATTGTCTTTGCGTGTCGTTATTATTTTTCATCAAAAGAGTATTTAGCTATTGGAAAAATGGCCATGTTTCTTGAATGAAGTACTTCCTAGGGTATTTTTCTTATTATCTTAAAAGAAAGTAACTTGCACTTGGTTGAATGAAAATGGATTCAAGAGAAATTTTCGAATTTTTCAACAGAACCTACCTTTCTACCTATTCTTCTTTGTATCTCGTGCGTCTGGTTATCGCGACCAATTGTTATTTCGTGCCCCAGGGGGAGGCTATCCCATAATTGAAAATAGTTGAATAAGCTGAAAATGATGATGATGATGATGACAGCTAATAAAAATCTTAAGAAAAAATATAAGATGTGAAAGAGATCAAAATAAATATTCGTAATAATCACAAGATCACGCGATCACAATCCGAAAAATTTGGGAAATTTTTGTTTAAGCTGCTACAATTTAAGAATAGCATTGCGTTTTTGCAATCTAAAATGCTCTTTCGTCCAAAAAGGCATCGGAATGGTGACAAAAGTCACACTAATTTCCATAAAAAAAGGTAAAAGACCACCAGTCACGTAAAGTATAGTAACAGACACAAAAAAGCACTTCGAACACTGAAGATTTTTAAAGGGTACACTTCTTGTCGCGTGATTCAGCTGGAAGGTTTTCGTATGTTTGCTTCAATGGCTCTATTCGTTTTGGTGTCAAATAGGCTAATGAAACTCATTTGTTACTTTCTACCTGTTTTATTAGAATATTTTAACAGTTTCACATTACATTTTAATGGCTATTTTAATTATACTAGAAAGTTTTTTGGAATTTTTCGCGGTTGCTTCTTAAACGTAAATTTAGTAATTTTTTTGTTTAATAGTTTTCTTTTATTTTAATTTTTAGGGAGAAATATTTTGATATATAAATCTCATCAATCAACTTTTTTTACCTCTATACATTCATAAAAATATACTTAGGATTAAAGAACTCAAAAACAAGGTATCTCTTTATACCGGGTGGATCATTTTATTGGTTTTATGGAAAGCACTGTTCATTAAAATGTTGTATCCTATATTATAGGGCTTGTTTCTCTCTACAATTTCCTGTCTTACAATGTACCGTTTGTGTCCAAGAAGGGTTCATAGTTTTATAGTTGTTGATTTTCGAAAGAAATCAATACATGTATATTATTTCGTATATTTTTCATTTTAATGATTTTATGGAAAGCACTGTTCATTAAAATGTTGTATCCTATGTTATAGAGCTTGTTTCTCTCTACAATTTCCTGTTTCACAATGTACCGTTTGTGTCTGGGAAGGTTTATGGTACCCCCAATATTTTTTTACTTCATTTGATAGAAAAAAGGATTTTGAATGGAATGATTTAACATATGTAAATATGTTATATGTATAAATTTCAATATAGAGTGCCATGCCTGTGTTAAAACCCCCAATTTTTAATCAAGGACCCTTGAAAAATTAGAGTTTATGTCTAATATTTTTCGTGTTTTTTCCTGGCCGGTTAAAAGATGCCCAAATTTTATTTTTAATCATAACCCTAATTTTCCAAATGGAACGAGAGTGGCTCATTAGCATATTTGGAAAAAACATTTTTCAACGAATAATTTGGTACGACATACTTGGTATTTTGAGACCAGTAATTGTTGTTAGAACACAGCCATTGCACTCTAGAAAATTAAAGTACTACATACACTACTCAAAACAATTATTGCATATTTGAATAAAAGTAATTATTAGATATTTCTAAATGAAGCATGCATTTTTCTGCCTTTTTCTTGTGAGTTTTTTTTAGGATAATTAGGGTATGCACTGATATGTAATTTTTAGTCGTCCGACTATTCAGTTGCAAAAGTGAAAACAATACATTCTTATGGAGCCCATCGGCTCAATATTTTATTACATTGCGTAGCTTTTGCGCGTAGCCTATGCGCTGACTGGCAATTTTTAATCGGCACGCTATTTAGTTGCATATTTGTAACCAATATATCCTTATGGAGCCGCGCTCACACGCAATCAACTAGTCGGCCGATCGACTTCATATAATTTCCCTTCACAGTATCCATACCCATTTAAAATCGTAAGTCAGGGAATTCAAAGCGTTTTGTTTTACTAATTAATATTTTTTAGAAAATATGCGATAATTGTTTTGAGTAATATATTATTTTGAAAGACCATTTGACTAGCATTTATCTAAGAGGCACCTTTTATATACCCGCCATTTTGAATTAAACTTTCAAAAAACCATTTTCAGGGGAAAATCCCTTCTAACATTATTTTCTAATTTTCTTGACATTATACTTAGTTTCTAAGTAATTCTTTTGAATTTGCCTGTAAATATATCAAATATACTAAGAGCTGGCAAAGGTTAGTCTTGGGTCGAGATTTTCGTATGTAAGAAGAGTACAATGCGTTTATAAAGTACTGAACAAAGAGAGGACAGTAAACACGTTGCCAAACGTATGAAATAAACCGAGAAACTGTGCACATCGCTAAGAGACGTGGAAGGGGATATAGCAGATTTGTCGCAGTTGACCGGTCGACCCAACCAATACCTCTGTCAGTACTTAAACTTCTAGGGAAAGGTGTACGTCAATGCTTCACGATTTAATTACGTCTCGTGATACTTAATTTGTTTATTTATTAACGAGTCGTTGTAATTTTCCCTATAGCTTGAATTTTTTCAAGTGCAAGCTAGAAACACTTGCATTTTTGGTAAAAATAAGTGGAATTGAGTGGGTGTTCGATAGTGGTCGCGCTATTAGAACTCTGAATTCAAAAATCGATATCTCGAAATCTATTAGAAATAATAGATTGTAGTTTTTTCAAGAATTTCGTTAATATTTCTGCTGTATTTTCTTTGTAGACAGTATGTGAAAATCTTTATTAATAAAAAAATTACACGATTGCTGAAAATTGCTATGCTCTAAAAGTAAATGGATGGATTGTTTGCAATTTTTGAACATGTATATTTGAAAAAACAACCTTATCGAATTTTTCTTATGTAAACATATTGTAAAATATCCGATCTTGAAAATAAAAAAAAGTTTCAATATCTAAAGTGGTTCTTGAGTTATCGCGTGTTATGTGTTAAAAAGTTGAGTTTTTAAATTATCGCGATTACTGACGTTTTCCCGTTAAAAAAAATTGACACCCTAACGATATCCTTATAATTCCATTTCAGATGCTCAGAAACATCTCTAATGATTTTATCTAGTTATCTTTTGAAAAAAAAAGTCTTTTAAAAATAAGCGGTTTGCAATCGTGATTTTACTTTACTTCGTAGGGAAAGACGTATCGGCAACGCCGCAACAGTACACCGTCGCGCGTCGCGTCGGTCGGTCGCATTTCTCTCACTCCGACTTAATAAGATCCCTATGCGATTTACTTCCACACATGTAAATGCCGACCCAAAAGTAACAGTTGCCAGCACGGTATATGTATAATATTCTTCCGATCTATGCCTACCAAATAAAACTACACTAATAAAAATATGCTTTTTTTTAATAAAATCTTTCCATATACAGTAATCAATTATTCTAACAAATCAACTTAAATCTAATATTATCATTTTCTTTATACAAATATACATACTATTTTTCTAAATCCTAACTGACTTAACTATAATAAACCAATTTTTGTGGCCATATAATCAATTCAAAACTATACAAAAAAGATACTGTTATATTATACCAAATAAAAATTAATTTTGGACTAGAATAAATCGGAATAAAACTATATCTCCAACGTCAATCTTTTGGCAGCGCACTGTCACTTTTGCCTCTGACGTACAACTTCAAATGTGACGTCCTATGTGTACCCAGCATTCTTTCTAAAAGGGAGTGTTTCGATTTCCTGCGAGAAGCAAGCACGGCCCTGCACAATTCCTGCAAATAAAATATTATAATTAGTTTATATTATTTAATAAAATAACGATAGAAGAAGACAAACACTATTTTTATACTTATAAATTAAAGACGATCTTTCTTTATTAGTTTCCTGTCTTCTTCTATGTTTATTTCGTATTATTTCTTGTTCATTTTCTTAAAATAAATTTTATGCAATGTGTATAAATCTGGAAAATCATTGTGTCAGGACTTGAATTACTGTGAGATTATTATGAATTTTAGAAAGAGGCTTCAAAAATAGTTACTTGTGCAGTGTGCATAAGTAACTTTTTCCTAGACTAAAAAGATGAAAAATAACGAATCAAAATTAGATATCAAAACAGTTAAAACACAAATAGGTTGCGCCCCCTACAAATAGGAGTCATATTGACATCAAAATCAAATTTATTATGTTAAAAAACACCAAGACACTAATTTTCATCCAAATATTGACGTTACTTCAGAAATTATTTGAAAAAAATCAAAATAAAAATTAAACTTCTACACCCTGTGTCTCCGAATATAAGTATTTTAAGCAAAGATATTGAAACTCCTAGTTTAAATATCTTTGATTTTAGGACATACATTTATACGAACTTATTTTTATCAGCAGAATATGCTGCCGAAGTTTCCGTAATACAGTTTGTACCATCCTGTATAAAAGTAGGTAGGTATATAACATTTACAATTTAGAAATTATTTAAAACTCATAAAATTTCCTGCTATAAAAAACTTTATTAATTAAACTAACTTTTTTTAAATATTTTACCTGAAAAACCACGGCCACTGGCGCCACCTGTTCCGCAGCAGCAACTTCAGAAAAGCCACATTCCAAGCTTCTAGCCAAGATGGCGCCTTCTTCCACGCTTACTTCGCGCAAATGTACCTTTCAAATGAAAAATAATTGATAAATCTATTAAATATATACAGTTTATTACGTTATTGTTAAAATATGTACATAGTAATTATTGCAGGAATTTAAAAATGATGATATGTAAGATTGTTCAAAATAAACTTAATAAGTTCAGGATACTTAACTCACTAAAATTAAAATATTAAGTTGTAAGTTTAAAATTAGTCGAAAAAAATATCTTTCTTACTATATCGTTTTTATTCCCGACGACATAGACTGGAATGTCATTATCATTTATCAATGCTCCGATTCTCTTCAAGTAATTGAAGGAATTCCTGTCGTTGATGGAGTAAACCAGGAGTAGTCCATCTGCCCAGTTGATGGTTTCGTTTGTAGGTAATTCATTATCATTCTGAAAAAAGAAATAAAAATAGTTAATATTAACATAATTATTGTAATGCGTTTGGGAATGTAATTGAAAACATATAATTGGCAATGATAAGGCTAGACGTAAATGTTTAAAAATAAGGATAATAAATGAATTCAATCTATTTATCTTTAAATTTGAATTAAATTTGTAAACTTTGGTTCGCATCTTGTTTATCTCCTCCCACGTTTCTGTACTATATCCAATATATTTTTGGATTTAAAACATTAAAATTATCTATATAAATCGATTTTATATCTAGATAAAAAGTATATTTCTATACAGGGCGTTTCAAAAAACATGTACCATCTTTTGTAGAGAGATTCCTCTCCTTAAACTAAGATTTAGTTAGGTTAGTTTATAAGATTTATTTTTTATATCAACATAGATTCCGCTTTGTTTCGTAACTTCAACTTTTGAAATAATCTCAATACAAAAAATGTTCATTTTTTAATTATCTATCTAATAAAAAATAATCTACAGGGTGTACCATTTAAAAAAAAAACAAAGAAAAATTATTTTATATTTTAGTAAGTTTGTAAGTAGAATTTTCAAGACCCTGTATGATTTAAGATTCCGATATTTATAGCAAAGTAAGTACAGACCAACTAAAGTAAAAATCTAATATACACACACCGGAAAAGTCTAGGGATATTACAATTTTATCCAGCCATCGTCAGTAATTTTATTATTTGCATTTCTGATATAATAAAATTAAAATAAACAAATAGTTTACAGGACGTATAGGAAATAAAAATGCGAAATTTACCGAATTTTTCAAATTTACCTTGAATTTTATTGAACTCAAAAAAATACACACATTTTTTTTAATTCTAAACTGTGAATTAAAAAAAAGATAAAACCATTTTTACTTAATAAAGGGTATAGCCTCCTCTATTGTTCATTACAGCCCTACATCGTCTCTCCATGCTCCTGATCAGGTTGTCGATCTCTTCGTGAGGTACAGCCTGCCACGCTGCATTCACGGCCGGAACCAGATCCCTACGCGTTTCACGAGATACCCATTCTCAAAATTCTTCTTTGGACCGCGTCCCATACGTGCTCGATGGGGTTGAGGTCATGAGATTGTGCCGGCCAGGGTAAGATATTTAATTGATGAGCATTGATAAACTCACTTACCACTCTGGCTGTATGAGGCCGTGCATTGTCATGCATGAGAATGAAGTTTCTCCCAAAATCATTGGCATATGGTAACACGACAGGCTCAAGAATTAAATCACGTTATGTGATTCCTGTTAGAAACCTTTCAAGAAAAAACCAGATCGGTTTTTGGCCTAACTGGACTCCTCTCCCCAGACCATAACTGTTCCACCTTGATAAGGGTACACTTCCTGAACATGATCCAACCGAATAAGATTTCCCGGTTCTCTCCATACCCTAAGCCTTCTCGAATCCGGATGAATTCCAAAGCGTGACTCATCCGTGAAGAGAACTTTGGCCCATTGTTCATTCGACCACTGAACATGATCTTGAGCCCACAAATATCGTACCTCTCGATTTCCTCTCGTTAAGGGTTGAACTCTCCAGGGGCGTCTGCTTCTCAAGTTGACCTCTCTTAATCTATTGCGAACAGTGTCAGGACTAACGGTTACATTATGTGTTTTCTGGAGAATTAAACTAAGCTCTGGTGCTGTAAGAGTCGGTCGGCGTCCATTTTTTAATTGTAAAAAATGATCTTGCTGAGGGGTAGTAATGCGATGTCGCCCTGTGTGCCTTTCAGCAACATCACCACTTTCACAGTAGCATGCACTTAATCGCGATATTACATTTTGCGTTGTATTTAATGCTCTAGCTACGTCGATTTGGCGCATTCTAGCTTCGAACATACCCATGGCCCTTAGCAGTTCGTCTCTGTTAAGATGTCTACGCTCCATAATGTCGTTTAATACTAAACAGAGTTATTTGAATGAATTCTGGCCAGTTATCATAAAAACATAGCCAGCACAGGTTAAATTCAAACAATTGATGCTAGGTGCTTTTATAAATTTGACAAAAAATGCACAAACACTTCTACAAATATCCCAAATTTAGAAATAACTAGTGTGACTACTTCATTTCAATCGAAGTAGAAAGAATCGGCCTACAAATATGTGGTTGTTTATTCAAAACATTTATTTTTAACTTTAATAAAATGATATCCCTAGATTTTTCCGGTGCGTGTAGTTTTGATTTTAGGACCGTTCTTGTATTTTTAATAATATTTTTAAGAAAGGCTAAAAAATATATATTATTTATATATTTTATTAACATCTCTGAAACAACCGAAATATATTTACTCATATCTTATAGCATCATGTAAAGTTATCTGAAAGGAAGCCAAAAATGCAATAATATACAGGATGCTTCATCTAAAAAAAATCATACCTATCCACTCACACTTTTTGAGCCACCCTGTAGGAGTTAACATATTTTCCTGAAATACATACTTGAGGTTTGCCCTAAAACAAAATTCCCAAGTTACACATGCCCGACTCACCCTTACCGGGCCCTGTACACCCTGTATATAAAATTCATATATAATAAAGTTTCTCTGTAATAAAGCTGTCTGGGTGAGAAAAATTAATAAATATGAATCAAGTAAAAAACATGCTCAAACGATATTACCTACCGGCACTTGTTGAAAATTTTAAGTGCTTAATACATCCTAAACCTCGTGCCAAATTTTCTGTACACGACTGGACTGTAAATAAACACTAATCCGTGTCACTTTTCGCATTTCGATAAAATAATAAAACATCAAAATCATAATTTAAGGCGGGTAACGTTGACAATGGACCATAAATCTTTTAAATATACGAGTTTAGAGAAAATTTATGTGTTTTTTATTTATTTATATTTCTTTTTGACACTTCTTGATATCTAAATCCTTACTTTTTACATATTTAAGCTTCATACAGAATCTCAAAATTAGTGAAATAAATTAGTGGTTTCAACTAGCGTAGAAGTTGGTTCCTCTAATTCCAATGTAAGCGTTCAGAACGTCATAATTAGTGCTAGTAAAGCTTTATTCAGAACCTCGCAATTAGTGAAATAAATTACTGGTTTCAATTAGCGTAGAAGTTTGTTTCTCTAATTTCAATGTAAGCATTCCGAACGTTAAAATTAGTGGTAGTCTTTTTCAGTTTGTAGAAAAAGTTTGACTTTTCCGCTAATTATACTTCAAAATTTGCGAGGAATGTCATTTTGGCATCTGATTATCATCCGTCAAGAGAAATTGTGGTTAAAAATCAAAAGTTGATTGTTTTAAAAGCTAAACTAGCGTGTACCCGCGACTTCGTTCGCGTCGAATTAATCATTAATTTGTAATGGTGATGATAAAGCAAAGCAAGAATTTCCATTAACATACAAACTGGATAAAATTTTCTCACAATTATGTCAGCATGAGAAAAAACAATATGGCGATATTATTATATAACTTGGTAATATTTGAGGGGTAGTTTCATTTCGTTGGAATTGACTTTCGAAAAATCCGTTTGCTAAAAATAAGCTTTTTACGTCAAGCAGTTTAAGCAGAATCGTGGTTAATCAATTACCCAGCTTTTTGGAACACCCTGTATGATTTTTTAAAAAATTTCAAAATATGTAAAAAAGAAAATAAATTATGCGTGTCCAAGCGTTTTCCCGAGAGACTAACCGTTTTTTAAATAACAAATATTGTAATATTGGAGGGACGTATCGAACCTCACACCCTATACACTCCACAGTCAATCCGTTTGCCAAAAATCAGCTTTAAACGTCAAGCAGTTTAAGCAGAATCGTGACTACTCAATGGTCATATTTTATGAAACACCCTGTATAAATTTTTAAAAAATCTTAAAATATGTAAAACAACAAAATAAAATATACGTGTTTAAGAGTTTTTCCGAAAAACTCACCGGTTTTTAAATAAAAATATATTCTAATATTTGAGGGGTTTCACCCCCTTGGAACTGGAATTTCGAAAAATCCCTTCTTGTCGAACCTCTACACCCTAGAATCAACCTGTATGCCAAAATTGAGCTTCTTACGTTGAGTGGTTTGAGCAGGATCGTGATTAATCAGTGAGGCACGTAAGGATTTTATATATTAGTATAAAGATTATTAGGTTTTCTCTATGGATACCACTGACTACCCCAAGCTGATGCTGGAATATTCTATTAATTTTAATTGTGTTTTTAGCCTTTGGGAATGATTGTAAACTCTAAGTTTAAAGTATAGTTGAAACCACTAATTTCGAAGTTCTGTATGAAGCTTTAAAGAGTTTTTTTTGTGAAGTGCAGCAGTGCAGACACATAGACATAACATGACAAATGCATGTGTGAAAATGTCAAAATTATTCTTTATTTTTATAATTGCGCATGCCCAATTAAGGTGAGTTTATATGCATCCGTAATGCGTCGTCCGTCGTTCCGTTAGTCCAATCATATTCAAGTACGGATGACGCATTACGGATGCATGTAAACACACACTTAGGCCCAGTTTTTTGACGCACAAAAATTCGATGTAGGAGATCTTCAAAATTGAGGGGTCCGGGGGAAGAACTTGATAAGCGCTAATTTCTTAATTTTAGGATTTTACAGTTTTATGGTAGGTCTAACTGGTCCCTACAAAATGTATAAACTCTGCAGGGCAATAAGTTGTTAAATCCTATGATATACCTATGCCTAGTAAAAATATAGAATACACGGCAAGAACCTGATAATTAGCAGCTGTCCAGTGTTCTCCTGTAAAATCAGTGAAATGGCCCTTATTATGTTTTTCCTCTGGATCCTTAAGGTACGCGCACACTGAAATATTGTTTGTGTTACTCACAAAAAATGTTGTATGTGTTACTTTCAATGAAGGTGCGCACACTAGCCAGAGCCGCATGAATCGCATCGAAAATGCGGCCAGCATTGTTGGACCAGAATGATTTTCGATAAATGCCGCTAGTGCTGCTGACGTCACACGCAATTCCTTCCACTCTACGTAGGTAGCCGAAGAGGAGATTAGAAATTCAATATGCTAAGAAAGTTCGCAAAGTTTTCATGGTTCATATTGAAACATTTTTAGTTCATCCTCAATTAAATATGGAAATAATGTGGATTTTTGCAAATATTGTGAACCCATAACTTTCGATTCTTTCTCGTGATTTCATCTTCTTCTATCAGCAAGGAGCTTATAATTATTTCTTGTTCGTTGTCATTCATTGTCGAGAAAGATTAAAAAACACGCTTCAGACAGGACTCCGGAAGCGACTGATGAGAAATTTGATTGGCAAATACGGGTGTATTAGGGTCAAAAAGAAACAAAATAGCGAATAATGCAGCGCCTTCGGTGCGGCTCAGTGTGCGCGACAAGAAAAAAAAAACTGCGATACGCGCGGCGAGTGCGGCTCTGGTCAGTGTGCGCGTACCTTTATTATACCCTTATCATAGACATTAAAAAAACTGAGTTTATCAATTCCCGCAAATCTGTACATATATTATTTTTAATATCACAACTATTAGTATAAGTACAAAATATTAATAATTCTAGTAATTCTGATTTATAATAATTAAAATTTTATGATTAATAAACAAAATCTACTTACTTTAGGGCACGTATCCAAAATTTCATACAAGATAGTATCATTATCTACCAGGACTTCGTGTTTATACCGGCTATCTGAAAATATAAAAAAATAGTTTAACGTATAATATTAAAAGAAATAATCAAAATCTAATGAATTGAATGAAGTTTAAGAAATTATTTTCCTTCGGCTTGGAAAAAAGCGCAGATTATTCCTCTAGCCAAAGTAAAAAATCCAAAATATTACAATGATCTAAGATACATTAGTATTCTACCAACGCTCTCTAAAATAATGGAAAAAATTTTAGAAAAGCAAATTATAGGGTTTTTGGATAAACATAGCATACTTCCACAGACGCAGTCGGGCTTTAGAACTAGTCATAGCTGTGAAACTGCATTAGCTCATATAACTGATGATATTATTGCATCTGCGGATAATAATAAAATAAGTATTTTAGTGTCTTTGGACTTTAGCAAGGCATTTGATATGATTAATTATGACATTCTTTTCTCTATTTTGCACCACATAAGTTTTGGTAACAAAGCTGTGGCGTTAAAGAATTCTTATCTAACAGATCGATCTCAACAAGTCGTATACCAACAGCACCATTCGCGCTCTTTGAGTAAAACTGTGGGGGTACCTCAAGGTAGTATTCTAGGACCCTTACTATATACAATTTACTCGTGTAAATTTTATGAGACATTGGATCATTGCAGCTCCCACTTTTATGCAGATGATAGCCAATTATACTATTCATTTGCGGAACATGAAATTGCCGAAGCAGAAGTTAAAATTAATAGTGATTTAAGATACAGGCTTCAAAAGCTTCAAAAGGTACAAAACTTATGCCTAAGATTGATATATGGTGTAAGACGGAGAGATCACATAACCCCATATCTAACTAGGTCAAAGTGATTAAATATGTATAATAGATTCCGATTGCATACCACCCTTTTTGCTTATAAAATTCTCAGGTTGAAATTACCAAACTATTTGTATACTAAGCTTCTGTTTAACGAAGGTTTGGGCGGTTATGATTTGCGCACGAGAGGGCTTCTTAAAGTGCCTAGGCATAGAAAAGAAATATTCAAAAGGTCTTATCGATATAATGTAACAAAACTTGTTAATGCCTGTGGTCTTAACATCAATATTCAGTCTGTGCCAGTCTTTAAGAAGTCTATTAAGCTTATGCTGTAGCTCCAGCAGTGATGTCGTAGTGTTGCCTCAGGTGGCGACCTTGTCTTCTCCGTCATTTGTTGCGTGGAAGGGCATGATACTTAAATGGTTCATTTTGTTTTGATGTGCTATATATACGTTACCCCTTTATTTACTCATACCTACTCCCTTCTTTCTTTCCTTTTTTTTTTCTTTAAAACTTGTTAGAAGCGGAATGTCATTCATGATGCCAATTTTGTTTTAATGTAATTTTTTTAGTATGTATTGTTGTAGTTTTTTTTAGCATGTTTTTTAGGTATATTGTAGGTTTCAACAGACTCTCAACTACTGATTGAGATGTCTGCACTTAAAGGCATTTTGTTCAACAACATTTTTTTGCAGCACAAATATGTATTGTATTTATATTTTGTTGGACAATAAATTATTTATTATTATTATTATTATTATTATTAATGCCGGGTCCATATCAGGGCGACAAAAAGCAAACACGATTTTGAGACAAAAACAAGACGAACTTGCGACAAAAAATGGGGAATTCTGACAAGACAAACTTGAGACAAATTGTCCACACAGCAAGGACAAAAGTACAACAAAGTCAAAAGTTTAGTTGTTGGGAATGAGTTTTATTAACCATGGTTTTTTAACCATTTCACTGGTCTCCTACTGTTGGCAGCACACGCCGTTCACACTGCGCCGACAACTTGTCGTAAAATATACGAACAAAACATAGACACTTTGATCTTTACCGAGTCGAGACGGGACATTGAAAAGTCTCCGAATTTTGAAACAAAACAAAAATGAGACAAAAATGTCGCAGAAATGTATTGGATTTGTCACAGTTTTGTCGTAAAACATGAATGTTTCTGTCTTGTCGTTGTTTTGTCTGCTTGGTCTGGACCCGGCATAAGAAATAAATTCCCAAGAAGAATATACAAACAATAAACAATACTGTCTGTGTGTTTAAAAATATTTAACTAGTTTTCGGTCCATATCAACACCTTTCAACTTTAAATCTGTTTAGTTGAGTTTAAATAATGGAACGTCACTGTTGCACGACAGAACCCATTTGTACTACGCTCTAGTTGATTCTAGCGACAACTTCGTACTCGAATGTATGTCAAACATCATTCATTAAGACGTTTTGGCCCGAATAAAAGATTGATATTGTGAATGACTGGTCTGACAACAGCGGCAAATTTAATTTTAGTCAAATGGCTTGAAATGAAAGACTTGGCGAATAATGTCGACCTTCAACGTTCTTCTATTAATAAAATGAAAACAAAAAAACATAGGTATCACACATTTATATTTATTTATACAGGGCCCGGCAATAGTGCGTCGGGCATCTGTATCTCCTATAATTTTTTTTTTATAAATGCAGATCTAAAGCATGTGCTAGGATGTATTTTAGGAAAATATTTTAACTTTTATAGGGTAGCTCAAAAAAGTGTGAGTGGATTGGGATATTTTTTTTTAAATGGAGCACCCTGTATAATATTGCCTATTTCGATGGCTTCAGAAATATTAATAAATACATAATGAATATATATTTTTCAGCCTTTCTTAAAAACATTATTAGAAGTACAAAAACTGTCGTGAAATAAAAACTATATTAGGTATTTACTGTAAATATGGTAATCGTAAATCATACAGGATGTTCAAAATTCTTCGCCAAACTTTCTAAAATATAAATTAATATATCCCCATCAAAAATTCCAGATAAATCATTAGCATTTAAGCATTATATTATAATAGTCTCATATCAATTCTGTCTATAAGTCTTCGGCAAATTTCTGAGAATTATTTTTATTTTAGCTGACACAAAATGATAACTAGTTGTTAAAGTTGAATTAATTTGACAGCTATGACAGCTCGTCAGACATATCACAGCCACCGAGATTTTATCAAATAACATAAATAGACTGACACTAAATCATAAAAATTAAATTATCTAGGAAAATCTTTGTTTGACAGGTAGGCAACCTTAATATTATTTTGAAGAGACATGAATTCACCATTGAATATCGGAATTATGTACTGGGTGTTTTTATTTGCATTTAAAATAAAGGAGTGACTGGCTTTTAAATGTGACCAATGTTCAAAATTAATTTTGTCGCACCCTGTATAACTTTTTGAGTCAAGTTTTAGTTTGATTTAAAGTACAATAGTTATTTTCACTATATATTAGGCTATACCGGGTAAATTTCAATTTAGGTAGTTTTTATTGAAATTTAAAATGTGTTCTTCTTTTTTAAAAAATGCTAAATATTTTTAAAACTTTACATACCGTGCTGGCAACTGTTACTTTTGGGTCGGCATTTACATGTGTCGAAGTAAATCGCATAGGGATCTTATTAAGTCGGAGTGAGAGAAATGCGACCGACCGACGCGATGCGCGACGGTGTGCTGTTGCGGCGTTGCCGATACGCCTTTCCCTATCAAGTAAAGTAACCATTTAATTATTATTAACAGGCCATAACTCAAGAACCACTTTAGATATTGAAACTTTCGTTTATTTTCAAGATCGGATATTTTACAATATGTTTACATAAGAAAACTTGGATAAGGTTGTTTTTTCCATTCAAAAATTGTAAACAATCCATCCATTTACTTTTAGAGCATAGCGATTTTCAGCAATCGTGTAATTTTTTTATTGATAAAGATTTTCACATACTGTCTACAAAGAAAATACAGCAGAAATATTAACAAAGTTCTTGAAAAAACTACAATCTATTATTTCTAATAGATTTCGGGATATCGATTTTTAAATTCAGAGTTCTAATAGCGCGACCACTATCGATTACCCGCTCAATTCCATTTATTGTTACCAAAAACGCAAGTGTTTTAATTTAAAAAAATCAAGCTATAAGGAAAATTACAACGACTCGTTAATAAATAAACAAATTAAGTATCACGAGACGTAATTAAATCGTGAAGCTGAACGCATGACGTACACCTTTCCCTAGAACTTTAAGTACTGACAGAGGTATTGATTGGGTCGACCGGTCAACTGCGACAAATCTGCTATATCCCCTGCCATGTCTCTTAGCGACGTGCAGAGTTCCTCGGTTTATTTCATACGTTTGGCAACGTGTTTACTGTCCTCTCTTTATTCAGTACATTATAAACGCATTGTACTCTTCTTATATACGGAAATCTCGACCCAAGACTAACCTTTGCCAGCCCTTAGTATACTATACTTTTAGTCACATACTTCTTTAACGAAACTAAGTTTTATTTTTCAGAATCCGAAAATCAATTAGGATATTCCATTACAAAAAGCACAACTTTGATGTGTAATTTTTATTGGGACACCCTGGTAGTACTCTCTATATTTTTAAAAAACCAAAAAACTGTCAAACAATCCACAAACTGTCATTCTCCTTGGAGTCTGTCATGCCTCCGCGTCGTCAGTGGCTGCTCGTCAGGTGCAGTAGGTGAAGGGACACTTCACCGAAAAAATACTCAAATTAAGGATTGCCACAAAAAACGTCCATACGGATCCAAGTTTATGGTGGACACTATATATAATGTTTATTATATTTAATTTAAATTTAATTATATTTTCACTGGAATGCAAAATAACGTATTAATCGAAAACTGGTTGTATCTCTTTTTACTTAATGCGTTTTAGCCCAAACTAAAACGAAAATATTTTAGGTATTAGTGTATAAATAATAACAAAAAAATGTTGACAAAATGGTGAATGCGGCAAAAATGTTTCAAATAATATTTTAAAAAATGTTGACAAAATGGTGAATGCGCCAAAAAATTTTCGTCTACGGCGCGATTTAAAAAAATTAAATCTTCACCTAATTTTTGACCCACGAGTCGCCACTGCGCGTCGTATGAGAGACGCCACTCGGTATAACAGTATAAAATGTCACGGGAGTATCTGTTTACACTAATATTAACATTTTTAAAGTATATTTGGATTATTTTAATCGTATCGTTCCTGGTGACATTTCATCTATTTTTAACGGAACATCAGCCAAAAACAAAACCAGACGCGTCAGGTACTTTAACGCGAATTATTTTGTAACGTGTTTTTGAAAAGGTGGCGCTTCTTTGACGCAGACAGAATACTGTATGATGTAGTTAAAATTCCACAGATATAATAAGCTGTCGCGAAACAAAGCGTGGCATATTTCATTTTTTATGATTTTTCGGTTGTTTCAGTGACTAACTGAGGTTGTTTAGAAATTGTGCGTATGAGGAAGAGGAAGGGTTCGAGTAAATTGAAAATACTTGTATTATAAATGTCGGTTTGAAAATTATTGATGGAGGTTAGCTAATAAAATGGTGTAGAATTAGAGTAATAAAGAAAACAGCTTGTATTTATTTATACATATAATCCTGAGATATGAGTACAGTACGTCTGTTCGTTTTGTAGCTACGGGGTATCCGTGAGAGGGGAAACGATATTCTCTCGATGTTTTTCATAAAAAAATAGACGACGCGTCCCATCAATAAAAATTCAACAAATTTGCAAGTAGCCAATAAAATAAGTGGGTGGAGCGAATTGCGGTGACGCACTCCTCAAATCGACGTATAAAATATATTGCTGTTTATTTCAATGTTTTTTGCCCGCATTCCTTTCATAGACACAGATCCAGCAGATGTACTGTAAATATATTTCGATAGTTTCAAAGATATTAATAAATAAATAAAACATATACAGGGTGGTCCAAACTGTATTCCGGAAACTTCGGCAGCATATTCTGCAGATAAAAATAAGTAAAAATGTTCGTATAGATGTATGTTCTAAAATGCTTAGTTTCGGAGATACAGGGTGTAGAAGTTTCATTTTTATTTCGATTTTTTACAGATAATTTCTGCAGTAACGTCAATATTTGGATTAAAATTGGTGTCTGGGAGTTTTTTGACATGATAAATTTGATTCTGATGTCAATATGACTACTACTAGTAGACGGCGCCACCTACATATTTTTTAACTGGTTTGAAGAGTAATAATTTTTCGTGCGTACCTGTATAAAACTACCGAGTAAAAAAGTATACATTTACGATGCTTTTTACGTAAAAAAGGTCTCTTGGTAAAAATCGCTACGAGTAATGGTTTTCGGAATATTTGGAATCGAAATTATCAATACCTGTCATCACTGACATAAATTAAACATGTTGACTAATATAGTATATAGTTATTAGACTGAGATCATAAATTTGAAATGTTTTTGTACCAAAAGTTCAACAAAAGCTGTTTTATCATAATTTTTTGCAGAAAAAATACGATTAATTTAAAAAAATAAAAATTTCACAAATTTATTATTTCAGTGAAATAACTATCTACTCAACGTGTTTATTTTTTGTCAATAATGGGATGTATTGACCATTTCCATTCTAAATATCTTGAGAACGGTTGCTCGTAGCGATTTTTACAAAGAGATATTTTTTACGTAAAAAAGCACAGAGATGTATATTTTTTCTCTCGGCAGGTACGGACAAAAAGTTATTACGCTTCAAAATAGTTAAAACACATGTAGGTGGCGCCCTCTACCAGTATTCTCTTTAAAATAAAGGAGAAACTTGTTTTTAAAAATGACCAATGTTCAATATTAATTTTGTCTCACCCTGTATAACTGTTTAGGACAAATTTTATTTTGGTTTAACATACAATGAATGTTTTAACTAAATATCCGGCTGTACAAGGTACATTACAATTTAGGTAGCTGTTAGTGAAATATAAAGTCTATTCTTCTTCTTCTTTCTTCTCAAACTCTCCTTTTCAGGAGAGAGTTGCGTTGCCTAGGCTGCCAGGACCATTCTGGCAAAGTACTTTTCATTTTCACTAAATTTGAAATATGTCAAAAACCTTACATTTTAAGGTTGCTTCTCACTATACCGTCCATATCAGTTCCCTTCCGTTTTCCTTTCGTTTACATAAAATATTATATCATGTAAATGAATAGGACAATGCACACTAACCGTTCCGTTTCCCTTCCGTTCCATATCCTTTCCTTCCATACATTTTTTTGACGGACGGACTGAAGCGTATCGGAAACAGCGTTGTCAAGTTCTTACAAAGTTCTAAGAAATAGGTAATAATATAAAAATATGTCATTATATATTTTTTCCGCATTTCTTCCCATCAGACGATTTTCAGATACAGAAGAATTGTTACTTACACGAAATGTAAAAATATTCTGTTTTCAAAAAAAATTTAACTCAATTATAACTTGTTTTATTTTATTGTGAACTCATATTTTCCTAAATACATCTCTGTGAAACTATGGCGAGTGCCACGACTATACTTTGCCTAGTTATAGACCACGACTATACAGCTACGTCAGTGGTCACGGGACGGTAGAACAAGGTCATATAAAGTGGCAGAAAAAGAACAAAGGATTTGGCAAGGAGTGAAGCTACTAGTTTCCTTATACTATGATAAAAAGTATGGAACTGATACGGAACGGAAGCGTACGTATAGCGTCAATACAATAAAAAATACGGAGCGGATATGGAATGGATATGGAATGGAAACGGAAGGTATAGTGAGAATCAACCTTAATATGGAATTATTGAGATTGCATTGATCCCAATCACCTCTCACTTTACTTCACTGTCAGGCCAGTACACACTTAGCTGGATTCAGCTAGCTATTATTATAAAAAATTAATTTAATTAGATATTACTCACCTGACTTGTGATCGTACTCGCCGATGTATCGTCTCGTCAGGAACCTCACGGACAGGGCTAAAAATAAGGAAGAGGTAAATAAAAAAGGACGTCAATTTGAGAAAATTGTGTAAACAGTCTCGTTAGCTAAAAATAGTCGAGTGTGCCGTAAAACCAAGTAAGATACGAGTTTGACAGTTGTTTTCGTATAAACGATGCACGAGACAAATCAAGATTTGGCGGTGAATCGCTTATGTCCAGAGAAATAAGGTAATATAGAGGCGTTTCTGAAATGAAACAGTAAAAATATTTAAAATTTAAATGAAATATATTCCATACCAAGTAAATTTTTAGTTGCGTAATCTAGGGCGCGATTTTTAAATTAATTGTTGCCAACTATGGCAACATATTCTTTTAAAATTAAATGTTTAAATGAGGTTTAAATGAATTGTGTAGCAAACCTTGCAGTCGAAAACTGTTCTTTTTAGAATCACTTTTAGTGCGAAGCGTACAAGATAACTTAATAGCCGTAAAAACTCATCGCAACTTTTATTAGAACATTTTGAACGGGAAAGCGGTAGTAATGACCCTTTATGTACCTTAAGTGCTATTAAGAAGGTGAGTTTTGTTGATCTAAATAATAACGGTTTATATATTTATAATTAATTTATTTTTGTTTCATAAAATATTTTGATTAAAAGAAAATATGTAAAAGGCGGCAACGCTGTGCCGGTCAAGCTTAATCACGTGACTAAAAGTTTATTTGATTTGAACTATACAGGGTGTCCCAGAAATAAGTGCAATTATTTTAACTGGTAGTATAGTACAACCTCAAACACGCCTATGAGGTTTTTTTCGCGAAAATTTTTTTTTCAAAATTCGGAATGTTTTGAACATTCTTTGGATATTTTTTTAGTTTTTGTTTAAAAAAAATTATTTCTTGATAATATGGTAACATAGGTAGTAGGTTAAATTTACAAGAAAGAAAATCCAGAAAAGATCCAGTTGTTCTCAAAATTTTAGCAAAAAATCACTTTTTTGGAAAATTTCAAAGTAAAAGAATTCTGTTATTTTGGACTTATTTGAAAAACGATAAAGAGAAAATATGTTTCTTTTATCGAGATCTAATACTTGCACTTATTCTACACCCTGTATATATAACCCTCTTTGGCTTTCTGTAAAAAAATTGTAATTTTGCAAGTTGTGAACAATGAGATCGTATTTGTATATCAACAAATATTTTAGAACTTCTCTAGATCTACTTATTTCTCTGGGAGACTAAGGTAATCAAATGACAAACAAACAATTCAATTGACATTAAAGGTTTATTCACACATGTCACTCACGTCTCAGACAAACAGTCTCAGTTCCGATAAAAATATGCATGGTAATTTTCATTTTCCTAGAAATTTTAGTGTTTTTATTTTATAAAAATCTTGGTGTTTTCTAAAGATCATTCAAGAAGCATATTTTTTTAATAATGAACGGGACTAGTGCTTGATGTACAAGACCAAGACCAAGACCAAGCATGCAAGACCGTTGTGGTCTTGCAATTTTTTTGCACATTTATATGATATAAAGAATTACTTTAAATTATTATGAAATTATTTATTTAAATATTTTCTGTGTAGAAAAGGCCTCTAGCAAAAATCTATTAGAAAATCTTGCAAGAATCTTGCAGCAAGATTACTGGAGCCTGCAAGACCAAGACTAAGAAAGTCTTGGTCTTGATCTTGAATTTGTTCATCACTATTTTTTTTACGTAACTTAAAATTAATTTTAATCAAAAACTATGTTTAATTCAGTGTAAGGACAAATTGAAAAAAAATTTGAAATGTTAATTATTCTCATTATCTCTAAAAAACTTTAATATCTCTAAAAATTCTAAAAATTCGGGTGTATAAATTCTTGAATTTTTAAATTATCACCATACCGAAGCCAGCAAGTTAATCCGATGTCGTATACAGCTATATTTTTAAATTGATGATGCTGAGAATTTTTTATATACGGATTTTTAGTGTGATCTTCATACCGTGTTGATATACGTTAGGATGCTTGCCAGTTTTTAAAAATAGGGTTACAAAAACACTGAGACTTAGATGGTTAATTATATCTTTTTATTGACAAGTCGCGTGGCGTTAATTTTTTTCACACTTAATTGTTTTCATCCCAGACAAATAATATAAATAGAAAAACTTTATCGTATAAAAGAGGTATCCAGGATATACAAAACAGAAAAATGTAATTCATGTAAACTCATAAAACTAAGTTTGATACCAATTATTGAACCTGTTTTAGTGAAAAGTGTACAAGATAGCTTAATAGCCGTAAAAAACTCATCGCAACTTAATTAGAATATTTTGAAAGTAAAAAAGCGGTAGTAATGGCCCTGTATGTCCCTTAAGTGCTGTTAAGAAGGTGATTTTTTTGACGTAAATAATACCTGTTTACAAATTTATAATTCATTTATTTTCCTTTCCTAAAATATTTCGATTAAAAGAAAATATGTAAAAGGTGGCAACGCTGTGCCGGTCAAGCTTAATCGCGTGATTAAAAGTAGTAGTGGGAACTATCGAATGAATACTATCGAAACATTCGATAGTTGCAATTCATTCGAATAATTCGATAGTTAGTAAGAAAACATTCGTTGAAAACTATTCGAATAAAAATTATCGAATAGATCCGTCATCTGCCTTGAAATATTGTATTCTAGTAATTCGGCAGCAAAAACCATTCATTTATAAAATTCATTCATTTATGAAATTCATTTATTCGTCAGGATCGATTATAATAAAATATTAACTGAATTTTAGTTGTCGCCCGGCGACGTAGGTTTCTTTCCGAGAAACCCGACAGCGGTCGGTGGCATTGCTATGAAAGAAGCCGGCATGTTTGATTTTTTGCGGAGTCAGATATAGATAAGGGCACATTATTTTTTTTATTGAGGTGCTCGTATTTACACAGAAAACACATTATGAAGGGCGCTGTTGCCATATTTTGGTATTAGTTTATATTAGCAAAGAATATTATTGTTTGGCTTTAGTTAGTTAGGGATAGTATGTCTATATATTCTGCATTTTTTTTATTAATATTCTGTTGTTACACTGCAATAATACTTGTTATTTTGGATGTAGGAGAATGATTTTTAATGTTTTTAAGCAAAGACAGGTTTAATAAATAATAATAACAGTAATAATTTGTTATACCTATTAACAACAAAATTTAAAATCATTTAATATAAACATTTTTTTTAAGTAGTAGCAAAATATGAACAAGAAATTAGATGTCAAAATTATTTATATTAGATCCTATTTAAAAATAATATACTCTCTAAATTTTTTGTGTGTGGCAACGTTGGTTTATTAAATAATAATAATTACAGAACTAATTTGTTATATTAACAACAAATTTTAAAATCATGAAATATAAACATTTATTAATTTTCTAAGCATGCAGTGTAATGGAAGGAAAATATAAATAAAAAATTAGAAATCAAAATTATTTATATTAGGTGCTTTATATTACTATTTAAAAATTATATTCACTTTTACTGGCATTTATTTAAAAAATAAATGAAATATTTCTTCGCAAAAAACTACATGTAAGAGAATTAGCATAAACAAAATACAAACATCGTTAACTTTTTTTTTAAATTGGCACGTATAAAACTTTCAATTTAATTTTCTCACCCCATAGTTTGAGTTCGATAACCCCATTTACTTAACCACATTACTTAAATATGATTATTAAGTTCAACTATCATATTATTAAAACATCTAAAATACAAATATGTATTTTTAAAATTAATTGTAAGTTCATCTCATCTCTCTTAAAAATTGCTACTTCTCAAAATTTCCCATTAAAAAATAGACCATATAAAATTAAATAATTGAAAGATCGGACTACGGAAAATCACCACCTGCACATGCACTCAATCGTCAATAAATAAAATTAAAAAATAACTACTATTTTAGTATTTTAACTATTTTAATAAACGCAAAAATAGCACAGTATTTATACGGCGAAGTTATAAGAATTTGGAAGAACTAATAATGCACTGACGCATACAAAAATCAAACGAATACTAAATTTCATTTATCAAAAGCATTCGATAGTCGTGGCTCAACGATAACCATTTAGTCGCACGGCGAGGTTGTCACATATGCTTTAGTATACAAATGAATGAATGATTTTATTCGAATAAAACCATTCGATAGTTGAAATCATTCATTCATTAACCATTCGATAGTCTAATTCATTCGATAGTTCCCATCGCTAATTAAAGTTTATTTGATATGAACTATATTTTATTTTGCTTGTATATGTCGGGATCAAAACAAATAATAATATATTTTTGGTTTGATTGAATTTTTGTAGATGCCTATTGTTTAAAATAATCATTTTTTTAGTGTAATTTAATTGACATTTTTCTTTGAGCGAATTTACAGTTTTACACGATTCAATATAAATTCACTCGATTAAAAACATAAAACAATTAAAGAATTTTATTGACTTACATCGATTTTACATTCCTCAAATGTTACTCAAAGTTTTAATAATAGCTAATAACCGCTTATTTCCTCAAATTTCAATTTGAAAACAAATCTATTTTAAACGGCAATTATATTTTTGCAAAACTAGTTAGAAATTTCAAATATCTTTCATACTTTGGTAAGTGCTAGACAGTTTTTGAAATATTTGGGCTGTCTGAAAACGAAAATATATACCTACCTTCTGGAAAGATGACAAGCTTTACAAACTTGGCAACAATATTGAGTCTACGCACAAAATTATCGTTAATATTTATATTAATTAGTAATATGTTAATTAAATATTTTATAGTCAAATCATGCCAACAAAAATATATAGTAAATATATATCTTTTTAATCTGTCTGTGATGTATAATTTATAAATATCCTATGATTAGTTCTATAATAAAAACAAATATTTATTGAAAAGGTAGGTATATAATTTGGTAATTTTTTATAATTTGGTAATTTTATGGTTTAAAAGTAATAAAACCTGGTTTGTTTTGGCAACATGTTTGCAAATGCTCGTTAAAAAATAATAAATAACT